ATAGTAATATTTTCATCTCACATTAGTTTTTGCAGATCTTGCAAAGTAACAATGATGTTTCTCACTACTTTGTGACCACAGCCAGTACACATGTGTATTAACAAAGAAGTACATTTATTAGTGTCCCAAATTATTAGAACATATTTTGATAGCTGAATTTCAGTGTAATCCGTTTCCTTTATAATCTTATAAATTTATTTTTAGGCATTTGTGAGCACTATTCTGAGAAGGGGTTATAGTTTCATCATACTAGTACAAAATAAGATAACAGCCTCTACTTTAGTGGGTCATGACCAGCACTGCTTTAAATGAAAGAGAATAGAAGAGTATAAATTATTAGATTCACAAAGTAAGGATCACTATTATTTTGTAAAACGTTGGCCTTAGTTATGTGTATATACATCTGTTCTGACTTGTAGCTACAGTGTTTCCCCTGTAGGTCAGAGGCAGTTTGAAAACACTGGCTGAAGCCCACAAGGGAAATGCGAGTCCCTTATTGTGAGTCCCAGCTAGAACCCTCGATGTGTTTCAGAATTCAGAGTATTATAGACTTTAGAGAGACGGTACACTGCGTAGTTTATATTCAGTAGTCCCCCTTATCCATGATTTTGCTTTCCATAATTTCAGTTATCTACGGCCAACCACGGTCTAAATATATTAAATGGGAAATTCCAGAAATAAACGATTCATAAGTTTTAAATTGTGCAGCGTTCTGAGCAGCAGGGTGAAATATCTCGCTGTCCCACTTTATCCCCCCTGGGATATGAATCGTCACTTCGTCCCGCACAGCCACACTGTCTATGCTCCTGTCATTAATCACTTCGCAGCTGTCCGGGTCACACACTGACCACTGCGGCACGGCAGGGCCCGCGTCACTCACCTGACTTCATCCCATCTCGCGGGCAGTGTCATCTCACGAAGAGGGGCGAATACATTACCATAAGGTATTTTGACAGAGACCACAGTCACATACCCTTCGGTACAGTATATTGTTATAATTGTTTTATTATACTTTACTTTATTTATTTTATTCTCACCTGAGGATTTTTTTTTTTTTTTTTGCATTTGTCTTCAGATAGAGTGGGAAGGAGAGAGGGAGGGAGGGAGGGAGAGAGAGAGAGAGAGAGAGAGAGAGAGAGAGAGAGAGAGAGATTGATTGGTTCCACCTGCACAACCCCAACCAGGGCCAGGGATGAACTGCAACTGAGGTATGTGCCCTTAGCGGGAACCGAACCAAGGACTCCCCAGTCCGTGGGCCAATACTCTAACCGCTGAGCCAAACTGGCCAGGGCTATTTTATTTTAATTATTGTTGTTAACTTTTACTGTGCCTAATTTATAAATCACTTTATTATAAGTAAGTGTATATAAGAAAAAACATAGAATATATGGTTCAGGAGTCTCTGCAGTTGCAGGCATTCACTAGGGGTCTTGGAACACAGCCCTTGTGGAGAAGTGGGGATACTGTATAATGGGAGGCCCTGGAAAAGTTAGGGCAGCCCCCCTGTAATCAGATATATTAATACATCTTAATCCTGCAGTGAGACACGCGGATCTTCACTCTAGGTAGGATGAGTGAGAATCACGAGCAGTCCAATGTGAGCTCGAGTCAGGTTTTGCTGCCAAATGAGTGATAGCAAAGCACTTTTGGTTTCCGGAACTTTGTGGATTTCGGAAGGGTGGATCAGGGTAGCAGGCTCAGGAATTCCCCTTTATTTGACCTCTTAGTGGAAGGAGATGGGTGGAGATGGAGATTCAGTATTTTTCATGGTACTTTCTGATATCCTCTTTTTTCGCCATGATCATGTTTGAGATGTCTGTAGTTTTATACTCCCTCCAGATACCACTTCCTGTGCTATGTTTAGTTCAGGTTTTCCTAAAGCCACAAGACCTTCATTAAGAAATAAAACATAATAGTAATTTAACATAACATAATAGTAAAAAACATAATATTTAGCTAAAATACATTGTGCTTTTCTCCTCTGTTTTCCTTAAAGGATGGGACATGAGACGTTCTCATAACAACGCCAAAGTTATTATCCATTTAAGGATAATACTTCTGGCCCTGCAAGTCTGACACCAAATCCAGTAGGTGGTGTTTTTTCCCAACCACCAAGCAATTTTCTGACAGTAGCTGGGCGTCCTACAATTCAACTCAATTCTGACACGATCTGCCTGGAGATACAATCATATCCCACAGGTTAAGAATTCAGTCTACATGACTAATTCCCTCCCTCACTCAGACAACAATCTGACCCACCTGCTACATATTGAAGGTTTGCACGACCTCCTCGGGTTCGATTAATTTGTAAGAGTGGTTCACTGAACTCAGAGAAACATTTTGCTTATTAGATCACCCACGTACTATGAAAGGAGCTTCCATGCCCCCCCTCCCCCTCGGGCACGCCATTCTCTCCATATGTCCACATGTCCACCGACCACAGGCTCTCTAAACTCTGTATTTTGGGTTGTTATGGAAGCTTCATGACAGAGGCATGATTGAATAAATCATTGGCTGTTGGTGATTGACCTCAATCTCCAGGCCCTCTCCCCTCCCGGAAATCAGGGGATTGGGGCTGGAAGTTGCAACCCTTTAATCACAGGGTTGGTTCTCCTGGCAACCAGTCCCCGTGTCCTTAGGTGATCTAGAGGTTTTTCCCAAGTCACCTCCTTAACATAAACTCAGGTGTGTTTGAAGGGGTTTGTTATGCATACAAGGTATGAGCTGGTAGCTAGCACATGAAAATTGAGCAAACCTCACAATCTGCGTTAACCAAACACAGACAGCAGTGTGTTGTGGTGTGGAAACAAATAGCCTTTGTTGTTGACACAATCGCTACCCTGGAGACTCCATTTCCAAAGAGGCGATGTGGAATCTTGCGGATCCAGCCAGAATTCCGACTGTGAAGTTCTCGGCCCATAGCTACCCCTGGTGCACCTGGTAACAACAGTAGGTCTTTCCCCTGGGGACATGGGGATATCTGGCTACAGGCCGACACCCAAAGTGTTGGGCTCATTAGAACTGAATCAAAGAGTGCAAAAGTAAGACTCCTACTCATTCTCTTCAGCCCTGGTTGTAATGAAAAGGCTAAGTCTAGTGCTGATAGATCCCTAATATTTGCCAAAATATCTTTAAAATTTTTTTCTCATTTGGGGAATCTATATATGTATATGTTTACACATTTATTTTAAACAGTTTTATTAATGTATAATTAAAATAGAATAAACTCTACAAAATTTAAATTTATGATTTGATAAATATTGACTCTTAGCAATACTTATGAAGTCATCACTACAATTCTGAAATATCAACATATTTCCCAAAAGTATCCTTATACCCCTTCCTAATAAGTATCTAGCTCACTGAATTTCCAGAAACTGGATGTACCTCTATGAGCCTCCTTCTTGCCCACCTTATGATTCAGCACCACCGAATGGCAGCAGCTCAGGACTGTGGACCTGACCCTGACTCGAACCCCTAGCTCATGTCTGCCAAGCACTGCCCTGATGATGCTGTTGAGTTAGGCTATGTGAGTTCAGACTGGGGCTTCATTTACCCTGGCCAAATTCCTTAGTTCTTTCTGTCTCACTCAACTTACGTGTGAAATAATAACAGTGGTGTTTGTGGGAGAGTTCACAAGACAATCTTTGTGCTTAGAACTGAAGATTAATTTAGGGACCAGGCATGTTAAAATGAGCTTTTTAAAAGCTGTACATTTGCCTGCGATTTCCCAGAGTCTCTTTATTGGAGAGGGAAGACTCCTGTGGCCCTGACCTCATCCTCCTCTCTGTTCGTCTCAGGTGAGCTGAGAGGAAGGACTGTGTCAACAGGGATTCCGGAGCATCCTGGCATGTAGTAGTTGCTCAATAAATGTTCACTGGCTCATGTTGACTTAAGAACTTGATCTTTATGAAGAGAGATCTGAAGCCTGTTTTATCCAGTTGTGGCTCATATGTTGGTGAAAGGTACTAGCTACCCACAAGGAGCCCGAGTAAATGTGTATGGTTTCTAGGAATGCCTTTCTGTCAGCTCTACAATGTAGCTGACCACCAGGTCTCCCGAAAATGCCTTTCTCTGGTTCTATGTGAAAATGGAGGCATAGGGCTATTATACTGTTTTAAATTTTCACAGATAAAATTGAGTCAACCCTGTGTGCTGGTAACATTTTCTTTCTTGGTGTAGGTGCTGGTTACATGGGGTGTTCATCTGTGAAGATTCACTAAGCTCTGTACTTTCTTTTTAAAATTTTAGTAAATTTACATACATTAAAATACACAAATCTGAAGTATTTAGCCCATTGCATTTTGACCTATACTTGCAATCATGCAACTCTCACCTAGATCAAGTTATAGAACATTTCTACCACACCTGCAAGTTCCCTTGTGTCCTGTTTGCTAGACGTAAGCACTTTTATGATTTCATTTAATCACCATCACATAAATGGCATCACGCAATATGTACTCTTTTCTGTCTCACAGTTCTTTTTTGCTTTAATTAGAAACACTAAACAATTTTACAAAGTGTTCGTACCATTGTCCACCAACGATGTAAGAGAGTCCCAATTTTTCATATTGTTGCCAACACTTGGTATTTTCAGACTTTTAAAAACTGTATATTTGTGTGCAATTCTCCATGTGTACATTATACTTCAATGAAAAGTTATAAAATCAAACCAACAATAAAAATGATGGTGGTTGTGTCTAATGCTGTCTCTCAGAAAACTGAAAAAAATCATCTGGATATTTTGTTGACATCTGCTAGGAATCTGTAACCGAATGTTGCCCTATTTCATTGGTGTATTTTTATTTTAAATTATGCAAAAATATATGATTGGGTCTTAGAGTTGGTCGGGGTAATATTGTTTCTCAAAGACATGTCTTCCCAAAGGTCCCTTGAGAGAGATTGCCATCCCCATCTTTGCTTTGGTTTCAGTAAGAAGACTTCGAATTTCGTACCTTTTGACAGGAGCTCACTGCTTGTCTTCTTTCTTCCCATTTCAGAGCATAAATGCCCAGTGGATGAGCGGGAGCAGTTGGAGGAGACCTTGCCCCTGATTTTGGGGCTCATCTTGGGTCTCGTCATTGTGGTAACGCTGGCGATTTACCACATCCACCACAAAATGACTGCCAACCAGGTGCAGATCCCTAGGGACCGGTCTCAATATAAGCACATGGGCTAGGGGCCCTTAGGCAGGCAGCCCCCAAGCCCCTCTTCCCCACCTGGATCAGGTAAAGAAACAAAAGCACTTTCCCACCTGTACATGGGATATACCAACATAGCTACAATCCAGCAGTCCTGGGTATCCAAGGCTTGCTTGGCCAGCATCCATGCTTAAACCCAGGGATGGAGGGACTTTTTGGATTTTGGGGGGTGAATGGCAGTTGTTCTCTCTGTGCTGGGAATGGGAATAGAGGGGGCCAGCCAGCTTTTCTGCTCCTGTTGGCTTGGCTTTGACTCTCGAAGTAGCAACACATACAACTCAGAGGGGTATCTGGCCCCAAATCGTACATATTGGAAAGACACTCCTTTTGGGAAGACACCCCTTTAGGTTCAGAGGAATAGGGGGTGTTTTGCCTCCTCAAATACAACTGGCTTACCCTACACAGTTGTCAATGCACACAAAATACAACCTCATGCTCCCTGCGGCAAGACCCCTGAAAGTGATCCATGCTTCCGGCTGGCATTCTGCATGTTAGTGATTGTCTGGGAATGTCCACTGCTACCTGCACCCAGTGACGTCACAGCACAAGACCCGTTTACTGTCACTATGTGAAGTGGTTCGGACTTCATAACGTGCCAGGTCCGAATAAGGGGACCTGAGGAATCAATCAATCCATGCGAGTTTGTTTTTCAGAATGAATTAAAACGCACTACAGTCTAACATGTGGCTGCTTTCTTGAAAGAAGTAAACAAACGTAAAATGGTTTCTTTGGCATCCAGAGGCGAGGGGAAGGACGAACATGGGCTTTTCGTTTCTGCAAGAGGAAAAGCAAACAAAGGGCAGGCAGGCATTGGAGGGGAAGTTGGCTTTTCCAGGTGAAAAAAATATGCATTCGTTTTGGCAAATATACGTTGTTTTAATGATGGCACCTCTTAATCAACTGGTCTGATATTGCTTCTGATGCCTTTTGGTCTTGAGTTTGGTATTTCACTTTGGATTAAACAGCTAGACTGAATATGGTAGCCTAGGTGGAGTTTTATTGGAAGTAAATGTAATTTATTGAAACTTCATTATTTGAACGCTCCTCGCTTTCTGAATAATCATTCTTTAGAAGAGCTGAGTTGGGGATGAGGAAGTCCTATTCTCCGGTGTCAAGGTGGAAAGCCTCCCACCCCATACAGTCTCCCCCCCTGAGCGGCAGCGTGACTCCATCGCCCGAGTCTTCAGCTGCTGACAGTAGTGCATCTTAGGAGTACATATCCCAGCAAACCTTGATAAGTATCAGCCGGTTGCTGTGCTATTACCCATGTGTTTGCTGCTCTTTCAACCGCAGTCTTTCCCTCTGAGTGATCTCTCTTCAGTGTCTGTCTGGCACCAGTGAGGGCGAAGCCCTGATTTCTCATACAGGCTGCACGCTGCAAAGGGGAGGAGATGCCTTTGCTGAGGGGGCACATCCCCCACGGCTTACCCCACCCTGCTGTCTTCTGTGCTCCTCCTACCCCACTGTCCCAGACTTGACACCCTTTCCTTCCCAGCATCCCATGTACTTTTCCCCCACAAACCTCTTATTTATTGTCTCCATCGAAGGATTTGGGGAGAAATGAACACTTAGATGTATCAATAAGTTACCCCTGGTTTCCGTAACACCTTCATTTTTACTTTTCCCCCTTTATTGATTTTAGTGAGAGAGGAAGAGAGAGAGATAGAAACATCTATAAGAGAGAACATTGATTGGCCACCTCCTGCATGTCCCCCATTGGGGCTCAGGCCCACCTGGGCATGTGCCCTGACCGGGAACCTCTTGGTGCCTGGGTCGATGCCCAACCACTGAGCCACACCAGCCGGGCTCTATAACCCCTTTAGAAAAAAACTTTTAGAACTTTGAGTCATATGCCTGAAAACTTCATATTAATTTACTTTCACAGCAGTAAATGTGTGTGTGTGTGTGTGTGTGTGTGTGTGTGTTTGTTAATTACTTTCATGAAACCAGACTCTGTTAGTTTTGGTATTGTCATTCATTCATTTATTTAACAGTTTTTGAGCACCTACTGAGTGCAGGCTAACTGTTGGGTGTACTGCTGTACACCCCGTAAACTTGACAACTGAACAGCGGGTAGCGGGAGGAATGACAAGAAAAAAACAGACGTACGCAGGTCATTCCTAAAAGAACTGGTTCCTTTCAAAAGGTTGTCACGTGGCCACATCCTTGTCTAAGCTCACCAGTTAAATCTTCCTAGGATTCAAATTTCTTAATTCTCAGGCAAAAGACTGATTTTCCCCCTGCGATATGCAGTATGCGGAAAGAGCGGCATCACTATGACTACCCTCGTTATTAATTGTTTCATCTTTTTCTAGCTAGCTGTCCTCAGATGAGGTCTCAGGCTCAGCTTACTGTCTCTGCACCTCGCTTTATCTCTTTCAGCCATGTCTTCATCTTCTTTAGCAACTAAACAAAATAAAGGGAGCCTGCCATTTGGGCAGGGACAGTGGACTCGGCGGGAAGGCCTGGAGTGCAGAGGGACCCACTCAGCCCTGGGCCTCAGTCCTGGGCTGCTTTCCTGGTCAGCGTCCGCGTTTTGCATTCCCAGCTGCTGCTGTACCAGGAGCAAGCTGAGGCGGTGGCTCCCCCCTCTGCATTGCTCCTCACGCTCAGAGATGAGAAAACACACAAAGCACAGGTGCTCAATAAACCCTTTAACCATCATTTTTCATTTTTATTGGAGTTTTAAACACAAACGCCTCTGGGCACAAAAGGATATTGTGTCCGGTTGCTGGTGCACCAGCCTGGAAAAGCCTGGCCTGATAAACCATATGCAGATTTCTGTTGGGGGAGCATGAGTTTCATTTAAATTCTGAGTGCAGTTCTTTCCTTGGTTCCCCCATTTCTGGGAAATAGCTCCCATGAAGCTCTCTCAGGGGGCAGGAGAGACTGCTCTCCAGCCTGAGCAAGCCCTCTAAACTCTGACCACTGTCATCTGGTCGATTGCCCAGTCTTTCCATGAGCAAGGATGTGGCAAAGCCGCGGGGGTGTGGGAGACAGACCAGGAGGTGGAGGAAAGGGAAGGGGTCAGAGGAATGCCCTGCAGCGTCTGGTGGAGGCAGCGCGCTGTGGTCTGGGGTGAGCCAGGCAGACACAACCTTACATCCCTTACATCGGTGTGTGTCAAAGGGCACTTTGCAAGCAGCCTGCACCAGAATCTCCCCAGGGCCACTGAAGAAAACGTAAGTTCTAGAACATCATCCCAGACGGACGGAGTGAGAATCTCTGGAGTGAGACCCCGGAATCTGCAGTTTCACCACACTCCTCAGGTAATATAGTGCAGCAGTGTGAAAACTGGTTAGAAACACTCTGCTATCAGCCTACCTGCAACATTAGCCAAATGATTGGGCTTCTCTCTGCTCATTTTCGCATCTGAAAATAGTGCTCACTCGCCCCTTCTTGCAGTTATTTGAAGATTCATGACAATGCATTTGAGTTCCTCGCACATTGCCTGACACACTGGAAATGCTCATAAAAGGTATTATTGATGACATTTTACTAGCATAATTTTTAACACATCTGTTCAGACTTTGCCTGCCATACAATTTCAAAAAAGACCTACAGGGACTGATGCAAGGGTTTTAAACCTGGTAGCCACAGTTTAATTTAAATTCAGAGTATGTTTCTGTGCAGGGACTTCCCACCACCCCCAGCCCAGTAAACTCTTTAGGTGGAAAAGTCCATGAACTTGGAGGAGAAAAATGTACACCTTTGGTTTTTACTCACCTCATATAAAAGGTAGCATCCCCTCAATTATGAACACAGGCACCAAACCACTGTAGTACATGCAGAAATCACCACATTACCCTTGTTGGAGTTTTCTCCAAAAGTCATTTATATTCCTTACTTTGGAATTATGATAGACCTTCACAAGATTAGGTTATTTAATGTTTTATAATGATAAAAATTTAAAAATGATAACTATATTTTAATTGGTTTTCTTTGTAAGCTGATGTATTTTACTTAATACACTTAAAACCATTTCTTTCTGAGAAGACATGTATAGGCTTCAGACAGGCAAGAGGGTCCAGGGTGGGAACCTTGGCTAACTCCTGCGATAGTGGCTACTTTGGTTGTCAGTTAAAGTGCCCAGACCTGTCAGGTTGTCTGCTGGGGAAGGACCCACAAAGGCTCATTTGACAAATGAGATGAGAATTTGTTAGCACTGATCCTGTGTGTAGACCCTGGTATAGGTGTTGGGGACTCATCAGTGAACACAGTAGGTAAACATCCCTGCCCTCAAGAAACTGAAATTTGTGTGTGTGCACATGTGGTCTGTTCAGGTATTCTGATGAATGCTGGGAGCCTTGGTGAGCTCAGTTAAGATGGATCATATAAGACCTTAAAGTCACTTTACATTTCTTTTTATTTTTTTATCCTTACCCAAGGACATTTTTTTCTATTTATCTTCAGATAGAGTGGGAGGGAGAGAGGGAGAAAGAGTGAGAGAAAGATGGACATGAGAGAGACATATTTACTGGTTGCCACCCACACGACCCTAACCGGGGCCGGGGACGAACAGCAACCCAGGTACGTGCCCTTAGCGGGAACCGAACCTGGGACTCTGGCCCGCAGGCCGACGCTCTAACCGCTGAGCCAAACTGGCCAGGGCTACATTTATTTTTAAATGCTGACAGTGATGAGGCATAATTATCAAAGCATTTGCGCCCCGAGCAAACTCTTTAAGATAAGAAATAGCTTTGCTTTGAAAACAGTATATTTTGCCTGGCTGGTGTGGCTCAGTGGACTGAGCATCGTCCCATGGACTGAGAGGTCCTGGTTTGATTCTCGATCAGGGCACATGTCGGGGTTGTGGGGGGATTGCAGGAGGCAGCTGATCAATGTCCCTCTCTCATATCGATGTTTCTCTTTCTCTTTCTAAAAAATCAATAAAAACATTTTTTTTTAGAAAAGGAAACAGAGTATTTTGACCCATAAATCAGCAACTCTCCTTTTCTCAAGTCTTCTGTTTGTCCCTCATTAGATCTATTTGTGTAGCTGTGTCAGGGTCCCACCCATGCTCCCTTGGCCCTTCCTCAAAGTCACTTGTGGAGTTTCTGTGTGTGCCACGGCCCCCTGCACCTCTGCCTCTCTGCTAGAGGGAGCACACTGCCCCGTACAGAGCAGGAGGAAGCTCTGGGAGTTAAAGCTGTAGGAGCAACTCTCACCCAGTGAGGGGTAGGAGACGGTGGGTAAATACCCAGCATCTTCACCTCCGGAAGGACGATTCTGGAGTGTCTCTCCTAGAGTGTCTCCATTGGGATTGCCCATAGTGGTAACCCACTCATTAAAACAGTTTTTCTCTCTCCTCTTTGTCTTACTTCT